TGGTAGTAAGCCCCAATTCCACAAATTTTTCTGAAATCGTGAGATGCGGTCTGGTGTGATATAGGCTTCAGAGAAAACATTTTCCTTTATCGTGCCAACGTTTCGATCTTTATTGAGATCTTCTTCAGGGCCTGGGATTTTAAAAACATTGTTTACATTTAACAAATACATGAAGGATGTGGAAAAAAGTGAATTTATAAATACGCAGAAAACAAACAATTTGAGTGTGTAGAAATACTTTGATTGAATATAAAAAAATATTTTTTGCATCGTATAAATTGTCGTTTTTCCACAAACTACGTGTATTTGTTAAATTTAAACATTGTTTGTAAATCCCAGGCCCTGAGGATGATCTCAATAAAGATCGAAACGTTGGCACAATAAAGAAAATGTTTTCTGAAACCTTCATCATACCAGACCGCATCTCACAATTTCCGAATATTCATTCTAATAAAGCTTCATCGTTTTGTTTCGAAACGTTATTAAAATAATCTCCGTAAAGTGCAAAAAAATGACACGGGGTGTATTGCATCCCAGCTAGTAAAAGTTGTTCACATTGGTTACCTGATGAAAAAGTTTTTTTTAATACTAGGTTGAAAAATACGTACGGTCTCGTGTCCGAGCCTTCCTCCCAATGGGTGTTAGGTGTCTAGAAAAAATTAAAAGTAATTTGATCAACAGTATAAGAATCATCTTGTTCCACTAAATGTTCTATCTTCGAGGTAATTTTGTAATTATGTGCTAGAACTTCTCATGTTTTGGAACGAAGCTAATTAGTTTCTTAACCTAGGTAATAATAACCGTACACCAAAGGTTAAAACCATTTTTATTAACCAACATAATTATTGTTATGTTATTAACTTAACGCTTGCTGATTACCGGTTACTACATGCCCTGAAGTGCACTGGCGTCTACCCAATTGAGCTAGTCCGAGCTCGAATTTTAATCGATAAGAGATTCTAACGAAGCCTGCCTTGGGGATAATGAAAATCGCGATAACAAGGAAATTTCAGGAGCGTCGGTGGCCGCAACGGTTTAGGCTTTGACACGGCGCTCATCACTGTTTGGATGGAGAATCGACTCATCTAAAAGAATCGACCACCCAATCGATTCCTTTAAGTGAGTTGCGGTCAAGTTAAGGAAACTGGAGGGGACGAATTACGTCACACGATTCCCGACGATTCTTTTTCCTGTAACAATTCCTTTTGATTCTTCTAAGAAACTCTTCGATTCTTTTGGCGACTCATCGACTCCCGGACTCCCAGTTTGATTCTTTCGATTCCTCAACTCCCGGACTCCCAGTTTGATTCTTTCGATTCCTCAACTCCCGTCTTCTGTTTTCTCCGCGGGCGGAGACATATTTTACTAAATGCTCCCAATCCAGAACCTCTCGACCAATCAATAAATTAATAATTAACGTTTTTTAAATTAATAAATTACCTACTTTTCCAACTTTTACAATTTTATTTACAATATGCAAAATACCGTATAAGTAATAAATATGTATAAATAAATGACAATTAATTAAGGTTTTTAGTTGAGATAAATTAATTAATTGTAATATATTAATTGGTCAAGCGGACCACGAAATAAGTGAATTTAATGTATAAATAAATTCATTCAGTAAATTTTCTGTATGGGATGTAAATTAATTAAATTAATAAAATTCATTTAATCTTTTTGCTTTTATTTAAAATGTGTAAACATTTTAAAAAAATCATATTTTATAGTAATTCATTTACGTAGCCACCTTCGATTCCTCAACTCCCGGACTCCCAGTTTGATTCTTTCGATTCCTTAACGACTGTCTATCTAACCCCCATCCAGTTTTCTCCGAGGGCGGAAACGTTTTATTCAATTTGTCAATAACGAACTTAATGTTCCCATCTAGAATCTCTTGACCAATCAATAAATTAATAATGAACATTTTTTTTAAATTAGTAAATTATCTGCTTTTTTCAAATTTTACAATTTTATTTACAATATGCAAAATATCGTAGAAGTAATAAATATGTATAAATAAATAGAATCAGTAAATTTTGTGTGTGTGATGTAAATGTCTATTAATTTTTTCCCTTTTATTTAAAATGTGTAAGTAAACATTAACAATTATTTATATTTTATAATAAATTCCTTTTCGTAGCCACGTAAATAATTTAACACCAAATAAAAAAAATAAGAGAGCAATAATTTGTGCTCTATTATACTAATAATTATCATATTAATCCATACGTGTTCGGCGGTCATAATTGCCCGGCATATTATTCAGAAATCGTGAGATGCGGTCTGGTGTGATGATTTCAGAAAAAACATTTTCTTTATCGTGCCAACGTTTCGATCTTTATTGAGATCATCTTCAGGGCCTGGGATTTACAAACATTGTTTAAATTTAACAAATAACATGTAGGATATGGAAAAAAAGGTGAATTTCTACAATGCAAAATATATTTTTTATATTCTACTCACTCAAAGTGTTTGTTTTCTGTGTAATTGTGCCATTCTTGTATGTCGTATTGAGAGTGTCAGTGATCTACATATTGCTGTTTCATGTTTATATAAGTTGGATTTTGAAGGGACGGGGAATGAAGTCGGTATAGAAAAGACATTTTTATATAAGGCGTCGGCTTCTTTGAAGTTTGAGGTGAAAAGAGCCGACAAAGGGAAAAACGTTGGTAAAGGTTCCCCAGATTATCCTTTCAGGATTATATAGACGGGGATAAATACTATTTATATTATTTATTGAATAGAAAAAGGAAGGCTAAATTGTTGAAAAATTAGACTATGTGAAAATGTTTGATGTGATGAGATATGTATGTAATCTATATTAAATTTGAAATTTAAATTTAAACAATGTTTGTAAATGCCAGGTCCTAAAGATGATCTCAATAAAGATCGAAACATTGGCATGATAAAGAAAATGTTTTTCCGAAACCTACATCACACCAGACCGCATCTCACGATATCTGAATAACTATCGATTAACGGTCACTAATCTCTACACATTGCTCATATTAATTATTCTTTTTATGTAAGGTCTTGGCTGAAATGAAATAATTAATTGAAAGTATCATTTTCCATCTCAAAATATCTATGATTTGTTAGAATTTATTTTAAATACGTTTTTTGTTGTATGTTTGGTATTGTGGTATAACTAAAAAGTAGTTAAGTAAGTAGCTCTGGTCCATGCATATAATATAGGGGATAATGAATCAGGGAATCGCATGACCAAAAGAATTAATTGGTTCACCTTCATCAATTTCAACAAAAACCAAGTTCGGTTTTCTTTTTGTTCTTCGTTAAAATCAACTATTAATTCAAAGGTTCGTTAGAGTATAGGGTCAAGCCAGGCAGTCGTCTCTTGACCTGAAACCGAAATATTTCTCTACCTTCTTAAGCCTTTTGCATTTTAATGCTGCTTGCTAAGCTATATATATATCCGACCTTAGTTTAAAAGTTTCTCATTCACTAGTTCGCCTTTCTCGAGAGAGTACCTTGCCAAAAAGTGAATTCAAATCAAATCTCCTACGTTTTTACTTGTTAGTGAAACTTGTGTGTTAGTGTTCATCCGTTTTATTCCAAATTCTTATTCTTCTTTTATTGCTACTTTAGTTTCCCTTTTTTTAATTTATTATTTCATACTCCAGTTCCAATCCCTCTATACCTTTTCTTCCTTCGGCATTAGAAAATCCTATTTTGATTGTTGCGCCCACGTCTTCAACGGCAACGCCTTGCTCCAGTCTTACAATTCCAGGTCCAGCCCAGTTCATTAAGACTCAAGTTGTGAAAACTAACAACCTACAAGGTATGTATAATAGCTAGCTATGTATTTAACATCAATTAAGAACACTCCTCCATAAAAAAAAAATCGCTACAAAGCCTAAGTGGATATAAAAATATATAATGATATTAATAAAATACTTATTTTTGCATTTTGTTACCAATTTAATTTTTTGTTTTTTAATAACTAGAAATGGCTAACAGATCTGATATCTGGTACCACTTTGTAAAGCTGGATGAGAACAACCGGCAGAAAGGGAAGTGCTTTTTTTGTTAAGCAATTATTTCAACACGAGGGTCAACAAGTACGCCGCCACCTTATAAAAAGACACCCTACGATAAACGTTCATCGTGAAGCCCAATCCCGCTCACCATCAACTCCTGTTCCTCCAGTTGTTCAATTTACCCAAACTAATAGATTGCAAGAAATTGAAGTTCAGCATGTGGACTAGCCACTCTCTGTGGCGTTCTTTCAAACACCCTCTTCTTCCAAGGAAGGCTGTTCTTCTCGTTCCACTTCAAACCTTTCAGTTTCACCACTTGTAACGCCAACACCATCCTTCCAGTTAGGACAAACCTCCATAAGTAGTTTCGTTAATATAACTCGCCCAATTACAGTAAATAAAAGCCGAGAAATTGATATACAATTATTAAAAATGATTTGCTCAAGGTATCAGCCGTTTAGTATAGTAGAGGATAAAGAATTTAAAATGTTTGTTAATATGTTATGTCCAAATTATAAGTTACCAAGTAGGAAAACTTTATCACAAAGTCTTTTACCTTTCCTGTATACCTCCACTATGGAGAAAATCATTCAATTATTAGAAAAAACACAGTCTGTTTGTCTGACTGCAGATGGTTGGACTAACATAAATACAGTAAATTTTTATGCAGTAACTGCACATTTTTTCGATCAAAATAGTTGTTTACAGTCAATTTTACTTGAGTGTTGCGAACTTTCAGTAAGGAGCACTTCTGAAAATATATCTATATGGATAAAATCAGTATTACAAAAATTTAACATTGCTGATAAAATATGTGCTGTCGTAACAGATAATGGCGCGAATATAAAGGGTGCAATTAGAATTTTAAATTTGCGGCACATATCTTGCTTTGCACATGATCTTAACTTGGTCGTTCAGGAGTCGGTTAAAGATTCTATAGGTGACACAGTTGGCAAAGTCAAATTAATCGTGCAATATTTTAAACAAAGTACAAATGCCATGGCCAAATTAGAAGAAATTCAAAAGAGTTTAGGTATGAAAGCTTTAAAATTAAAACAAGATGTTTCAACTCGTTGGAATTCAACATTTGAAATGTTGGATTGCATTTACAAAAATAAGGAAGCGGTAATCTCGGCTTTAGCAATTTGCAATCCCAAATTATTATTAGAGAATGATGACTGGAAAATCATCAAAGAAGCTATAGAGCTTCTGCAAATCTTCTCAGAAGTCACAGAGGAAGTTTCTTCAGAAAAAAATATATCCTTATCTAAAACCTCTGTTTTAGCTCGTGGCCTGGTAAGGTGTACAAGACACAGCTTGAGCACGCAAGGCTTAAGTGAAGTAGTTGAACTGTTAGGAGATAAATTACTCGAATCCTTAAGTCATCGTTTTGGGAACCGGGAAAGGAATGATTTAGTAAGTCAATCAATCTTTCTTGACCCCCGGTTCAAAAAACAAGGATTTGGGGAAGAATCCCAATTTGTGAACACAAAGAAGTTAATAATTCAAAAAATTCAAGCTGTTGTCCGAACCGAGCCACAGTCACGAGCTGAAATTTCAATTAATCTGCCAAGTACATCCAAAATTTGGCAAGAATTTGATGAGTCAGTGTGCATTATGAGAGCGGTCCAAGATCCAAAAGCTTCTGCTATTGTCGAAGTCGATAAATATATAGCAGAACCTCTTGTGGACCGTCGCACTGACCCTATGGTTTGGTGGAACGATAGGAAAAGTCTATTTCCTAATTTGTATAATCTAGCTTTGAAAATATTGTGCATTCCTGCAACCTCTGTTCCCCGTGAGAGAATTTTCTCTAAATGGGGTCAGATATGTACCCAAAAAACGTCCCGTCTGACTTCATCAAAAATTGCACAAATGTTATTTATTAATCAAAATAAAGATATGCTTTACAGTAAATAATATTTAAAACTCTGAAGGTACATAAGTTGGTTTACTATTTAGATTGGAACTAGATTTCATGTTGAGAATTAAGTTTTAAAATAATTAAGCTTAAGTGAATTACTCTACCGCCCTAACCGAATGAATGGTGTAAGTATGTAAGTTATGTAAATAGGAATGATTGTATTTAAGAGTGAATGAGAGTGTGATTGTATTACTGATTGCATCGTGCACTGCCAACAGCTATTTCATTTCAGAGCACTGAAAAGACCTAGATGTTGGCAGCGCACAGAGCCTAACCCCAATATCTGGGGTAGGTGATTCTCAGGAGCCATTGGCAATCCGTTGTGAAACTGGAACTGTCGGAGTGTCGGTGGACTCTGAGAAGTGATAGGCCCAACTCTGTACCTGTGGGTAATGTGCACACCCGTCTGTGGATTTGTGCCTATATAAATCAGCAATCAGTTAACACATTTTTTATATCTTACTTTTTATTAATTCTTATAACAATGTAAATGCTGGTTGATTCATATGTAAGATACCTAAGTAATAATTCATTAATAATATGTATCAATAAAGATATGTGATTTTTGTTGAGTTTTATTTTTAAAATAATTATTTTTATTTACTTCCAAGAAATGTGCAAAGAATAATCATCGACTAACGGTCACTAATCACTACACAAAATAAATTATATACAATTACACTAAGTACAAAGAAATAAGGCTTTCATTAGTATTACAATCATCATTATTTTTCTTTCTAAAAATACAACGATTTGATACAATTTATATACTTAAAATTAATACTATATTACCTTTTTCGTTGTGGTAAATAAATACTAGAATTGAAAATTATTTTGAATAATGGCGGGAAATTTGGATGAAGGGAGAAACCAATAAACAGAAAGCTCTGGTACCAGGAGTGGGGAATCAAAGAATCGAAAAAAAGAATCGACTCATTTCAGGGATTGAATCGAAGGGAATAGATTCATTTAAAAGAATCATACTTCCCACCACTAGTTTAAGCCGGGAACACACCCATGCTACGCCATGCGACTCTACCCGACGCCTTGCCACGGTTTGGTGGGGTGTGCACATCTATCCTACACAAGCACACGTCGCGTACAGTCCGCAGCGTTTATCACAATAATCACTATCACAATCGCAACGCATCTTTTATTCTTAATGCACTATTTTGAGCAAAACTTTGAAATAAATTGTTAGTTAAATTTTATGAGCACAACCATCTAATAAATTGTTTGTTAAACTTAATTGTTTTAAATAAAGTTACTCCTAACCATCATAACTAAAAAATGTTTATAAAAACTTATGAATTTGGTTTACATTAAAATAACATGTTGTAATTAATATAACGACAAAATTACATGTACTTAATTTGAAATATACTACAAAAAATATGAGTGTCCTGTTCTGATGCTACCCGACGAAAATGGTGTAATTTTACGAGCCAAACTATCATAGCCAAACTAACTAAAATTGTTAATTAAATTTTATGAGCAAAACCGTGTAATAAATTGTTCCAATTTTAGTATATGTACCGCCGAAGCGAGTACAATAAATTGTTAGTAAAATTCTTTATATCAAAAAATCGTATTCCGGTGTTTTGATTGATTTTCTACCAAACTATTAAAATTATTTTTTTAAATAAAAACTAATTAATTTTTAATCACAGTTAATTTGGTTTATATTAAAATAAGTATGTTGTAATTAATATAACGACAATAATACATGTAGTTTGAATAAAAATATGAGTGTCCGGTTCTTTTGTCTTCGGCTGTACTCGATGCGACCCGACGAAAATCTGGACAGTGGGGATCGCAGAGCGTCGGGTGGGTTAGCGTGGCATAGCATCGGGTAGATGTGCACGGAGGTAATGCAACCTTATGGAAAATCGGAGTTTGGATTTGAGTCGGGTTGCGTCGGGTAGCATAGGGTAGCGTCGCATAGTTTAGCATCGGTTGTGTTCCTGGCTTTAGGTATAGGTCCCGGGTTCGAATCTAGCGGCCCTGCTCCGAACCCGACATACTTACAAATGGGCTTTTTTTCAAAAACACCGGCACCCTGAGGGTTGATTTAACCTCTGCTGTTGAGAACCGTCGTAAAAAAAAGAACAAGGAATTTTCATGCGTAGAACGTTTTTACTGTTCAGTAACACATCTGTCGTTAACGACTGGAATAACTTCACATCCTGAACGCCTGTGACCCGCAGGTCCCGTGAATTTTTTCAACGATTATTATTATGATTTAATAATTCGGGTTGCTACTCTTCTTCGTGGTCGCAGTTTTGAAATGAGTTTATTATTAAACTTGAAACCTGTGTGCCCCCCTGCAAACTGAAAAACAAGGCGAAAGTAATTAAATTTAGTGTCTGTTCTTCATCGGGTTGAGTTTCTTTTCTTCCCTTTTAATTAATTAAACTTTGTTAAATTTGTAATAAGTAACATTTAATCTTCAAAACCCTTTACTCCTTCAGATATTATGCATGCTATTAAAAATGTACCCCTTATAAAAAAGATTCTGGATTCGACATTATTTCCGCTTCAATACTTCTGTACGTTCAAAATAAAATGTTTTCATAACCACACTTATAACCCAACCCTCCGCACTACTTATTTCTCAAAACAATGGAATTTTTCATAATTTCATAAGCCCTAAGCCTAATTAACTTCAACTTCTTCCAAACGTGCTTTTAGTATGTAGTAGTAATATTGTAAAAGTTTTAGTAAAATCATGGAAAAATATCTCCGCAAACAAATTCATCCCATCTTCGCCAATTTTAATATTATCGCAATCAATTTGGATTCAGGTAACAACGTTCTATTATACAACAGTATCATTTGGTTTTGGATAGTTTTGCATGTCCTTTCGAGAAGGAGTGGTGCTCTGGTGCTTTTTGCGAAGTGGAACAAGCTTTTGATCGTGTTGGCATCTAGTTTTCCTCTGAAACCGAAGGGGTTCTTACTCAGATCCTATCTGGTGGATAGATACTTTAGAAGTGGATCTTTTTCAACAAAAAAGTCCGCAGCGGTGCAACACCTGCATGGACCCAATGCAAAAGAAAGGAAAAGGATAGTGTTATCCTGTTTCCAGAGTAAACCCTAATTTCAGACTGAACAAATAGAGTAAACTAAGTGCTGGCCTTAAATTCTTTATAGTCTAAGATAACTTTCAATTAATTAAGGTTTTTTTAGTTGAGATAAAAAGGTCAGTCACGACCTTCGGCTAGATACGCCGCTGCTCTACCACTTGAGCTATCGTGACTTCGATCCTCTCGGACACTAACTTTCCATCTCAACCCAACTTTTCGAATTTTCCCTCCTTTTTGCCATTTTTCAAATGTTGTCGCCGAGAATCAAATAGAATCTATTCAAATAGATAGAGGCCACAGCCACTTCAAAGAACGGCAAGCTCTTTCACTAACTAATTGGGATGAAGAATTAATTTTTTATATGTTATTAATTAAATCAGGATTTAACTAGACCAAGGACAAATAAGATGTGGAGGTCACTGTAGACAGTTTCTGGTTAATTAATGCAGAAAAGAAGTACCACATAAAAAGTAAGAACCTGATTCTTTATTACCTATATATATTTAATTTTAATATATAAAATTAATATAGGTTTTGTATTTAATATATAAAATTGAAATCATATATGTATAATATCTTAGAAAATATTTCGTGTGATTTCTTCGTATGGTCTGGAGGGCGATGACCGTGTAATTTAATAGTTACTGGTCGTCTCTTCTGCCTATGCTAGCTGTATTTGCTTGCCAGACTCGTTTCGGCATTTCGCCGTCTTCAGTTGATGGTGAAGGTTGTAAGCGGGGAGACGCAAATTATTGAGTCTTATATACCTCGATGTTATTTTCTCCTCATATTGCTACAAGACCGTCGGGTCTTAAAGACTAAAACGACTACATATGGGTCATTTGTTGAATCTTGTCACCTTTTATTAACTTATAAAAACAGACACATCGCAGACCAAAACAGAAATATACACAAATCGGTTACCTTCATATTACAAATATATAATTTAATATGTTACTTCTATTCTTGATGCCAATTTTATAGTTGAGTGATTTTCTCCTGTGATCCGATGGTGTTAGACTTTTTCGATCAGTTTGGTCTAACTAATCTAGCTGTTTTGGTCAATGAGAACACGTTTCGATATTTCACCATCTACAATTGAGGGTCAAGGTTATAAGCAGGTAGACGAAAAGTACTGACTCCTCATCACCTTGCTAAACAAAGTCCCACAATCCGGTCGTTGACCGACTAAAACTACGAACATACGTGTCTTTTTCAACACTTGTCATATTTTACAAACTTTAAAAAATCCAGATAGGTCAAGTGGTAGAGCAGCGGCTTATCTAGCCGAAAATCGTGGGTTCGAATCCCACTCGTGACACTGACTTTTTTTATCTAAACTAAAACCTTAATTAATTAAAAGCTATTAATTGGTCAAGCGGACAACGAAACTAGTGAATTTAATAAGTTTAAATGAAATATAACTTCACTAAAGCACCCTGTGGCGATTTCATTTGTCGCCGAGAATCAAATAGATTTCACGACATTTGAAAAATGGCAAAAAGGAGGGAAAATTCAAAAGGTGGGGTTGAGATGGGAAGTTAGTGTCCGAGTGGATCGAAGACAAGATAGCTCAAGTGGTAGAGGAGCGGCGTATTTAGCCGAAGATCGTGGGTTCAATTGCCGCTCGTGACACTGACTTTTTATCTCAACTAAAAAAAACCTTAATTAATTGAAAGTTATTAATTGGTCAAGCGGACCACGAAAACTAGTGAGTCTAGATAATTATTCACGAACATAGCAAACTCTAGTACGAAACAAATGCTACATGATTTCTGAAATTTTCTATGAAACAATTTCTGCTTGTAAACTTGTAAGTAATGCCAAAAACCATTTTTTCCATTTTGTAATACCCTTTATGTTTATGTATCGTACGTTTAAGTGTGCTTTTGTCAATAAACAATTGACTTTTGTGGAATAATAGGTTTCTAAAAGATCTCCATTTGTCGAAAATCAAAAGAAATCGCGTCTGGCGGCTTGTTAACGCCTCTTGATTTATTGCCTTCTGGTTTATCTACCATTATGTTCCTCGCGATATGTCTCTGTCGTGGAAAATGCACTGCCAGGCACAACCCTAGAAAAGATTCATTGCCATATAGTTGTCGAAATATGGTCGAAATGGTCCAAATAGGAAAATATAGCTTTTTTTCTACTAGTTATTAGATTTGTTAATCAATTGCTACAGTTTCTCTTATTTTCTGATGTTTGTTTTCGTTATTTGTACCGACTAATCTAGCAAATTTAAAGATTTTCGTCAACCCAGATAAAACAACTCAAAAATCTAATTATTTATTTAATACCTAAATATCGGGAAATCGTACCTTATTCATTTTCTTTTGTAGGGAGATTTCCTCTTGACCTCTGCTGGGTGATTACATCGGTCGTTCCTATCATTCCGGTTTATCCTCGCTATGTTGGTCTGTCGGACGCATTTCAGCCGAAAGACATCACTGAGTCAGAATACAAGCAGGGAGCTTATTTGTGCAGCCTCGCTGTTTTTTTTTCTTTCGCAACTTTACTTTGAAAGCTTACCAGTCGGGTTAGAAAGAAAATAGTATACGATAGTATGTATTATTTTGTGCTTCCTTCCATTTTTTTTGTACAAACCTATAAAATAGAGATATTTTGCAAACTTATAAATAGGCACTACTAACAAGGTAACCAGCTATTGAAAATGGCGGAATACCGACAAGGGAAATGCTTAATTTAATTCCCACTAATTTACATAGCTAATGGAAAAGCATGGTGCAAATTTAACATTGTCGATTGAACGTTTCCGATCATCCTGTTCTCTGTTTAAGTCTGTCAACATTTCGCCATATTCACTGGTGTTTTTTGTGTCTTATGAAGCACATAACCATATGAAAACGCACAGGCTAACTGCTGTAGAACCACTCATTATTGCGAAAAGAGAAACAAATTAAGGATAGAGGTGGGAAAAAAAACATCAATAAACAATAGATTCACTAGTTTTTGTGGTCCGCTTGAACAATTAATATCTTTCAATTAATTAAGGTTTTCAGTTGAAATTAAAAAAAAGTCAGTGTCACGACGGGGATTCGAACCCACGACCTTCGGCTAGATACGCCGCTGCTCTACCACTTGAGCTGCCGTTACTCGATCACGGAGGGACCTACCCTATTACCTATTAAGGTTTATAGTTGAGATAAAATTGTCAGTGTCACGAGCGGATTGAAAAATGGGAAAAAAATAAATTACTATTTTGAAGGCTCAAAGATGGGAAATGGTGGGCATCGGCATGAGGTATAACTTTGAGCATCAAATAGTCCTCGGCCCAAGTACATAAATCTTTCAAGACGAACTCTGCTAGCCTCAGAAAACTGTGCACTTAAAATAAACCAAATATATCATACAGGTGCAACAATAATCGTCAGACTGTCAAGCAGCTCTAAAGGCTGCCCAGGCCTTCGAGATTATCTCAAATAACTCTGGAACTGCCTTAATCCCCTAAAATTCTTATTGTAACTTAACGCTACAGTGGTCCGAGGTCATGAGGAAATTACAGCAGATATATTTGCTTAAAAGGATCCACGGAACAACCCATATGCTTAAATCATACTGTAGAATAAACTATAGCCACATTAAAAGAGAAATGAAATGTTGTGTAACTAAAGAATACAACAAATATTGGAAGCAAAGACTATAGGCGTGAGGCAAGCAAAAAGACAACTTGCAAAACTACCCAATAGGAGAAAAAGTAAGTCCTACAAAGGAATTAAAGACTCTTACTGGAATATTTACAAGACATGCTCCAGTTGGGGGACTATGGACTATTAATAGATGTCCAATGTCGATTATGTCTAGAAGAGACAGAAGTTTGAAAAATTTAATAAATTGAGTGCAAATCAGAAGTTATTAGATAACTGCCTCTTGCATAAAAATTAAACCGATTTATTTCCAAGTAGTTGTTTGTAAATAAGCCTACCTGATAGCCATTGTGGAAAATTCAATATGCAACTTTAAAAAAACAATAATATTGTCTATTTTCACATGGATTTCCATAGAGTGGACTCGAAAAACCAACATCAAATATGGTTTTATTCGGAATTTCGATGCAAGAACTCCTTTCGAACATCATAAAAGCCAAATGGGTTTAATGATTACGTTTCTGGGTGGACAAACAACATTATCACTGGTTTTTGCCGTAATGGCCTCGCCGCGTCCTCGAACAAATTGTGAACTAACAATACTCGTATGTTGATGGTCTGCAAGCATTGAACATCTTTACTTGTCTCGTACGTGTTTGCAATATCCATTGTTCAATATTGGGAAATGGTGGCTGTGAACTCCAATACGTAATATCTTTATGGTTTAATAGATTTCGCCGAAGGAAATTTTCCAGCATTGTTTCAAGAAAATTGTCATAATTCTTTCTTAATTGTGAAAATTTCAATTTTATTTTCTTTATAATGGGAAAATTTTCAAACGGAACCGATCGCAAGAAACGTGACGCAACTCTACAAACAAAATTTTACCGGAGAGAGATGGAAGTTTACTTTTTTTGATTTATCTAGTAAGTATACGCTATTGCGGTTGTTGGCAAAAATCCTGTCATGATCCATCAATATTGACTTTTGTTTATCCAAGACTAAAGCGAAAACACACAACATTAAAAATCCAGCTGTACTACCGCTTTTACGGTTGTGACACTTATTTTGCATATATTTGCTCTCAGTAATGTAAGTTAGTTTGTTTGCTCTTACGATAATGGTGGTCAAAATAAGGGTATTCATTTCTTTGTGATAGTAACAGATAACATTCAAACCTAACCAATATCCGCTATGAAAAACATATTTGTACAATTGATTACTACTGGAGCATGTGTTGTTAAGAAGTTGAATTCCTTTCTATTGAAAAGGAATTCTTGTTTTTGCATAGGGTTGAATTTGTCTTTTTGCTTGCCTCATGTCTGGCATATGTTCCCATTTGTTGTGTTCAGTAACCCAAAATACCACAGTTATTTTTATATAGCTTTTATTATAACACAAATCTCTACTGCCTCTTTGCCTGAAATTCCCTGATGACATAACCTCTGTAGATCACACATTTTTGTAGGTATTTAGGCAGTTCCGGACTAGTTTTGAAATTATTTAGAAGCCTTGATTCCCATCTGATTGTATTGTTCCTTGAGATTGTTAATTATTTCATGTGCACATGTTTCCATGGCTATTCGGCTTTTCCATAGTTATTCGGATTGATATATGGTTGTGGTGGAGCCGTCGGCCACGTGGTGCTCCCAGTTAGGCTCCTTTATTGGGAGCACCACGTGAGCACCTTATTGAACAGTTTTTCTTATTTTGTGTTACTTTTCCATTGTCGGCTTTTTTTAATTATTAGGTTGAATGATTTTTTACAAAGTGCATTATTTTCATTGACACGTCAGAGGTAGTTTTGGCTCAAGCGGTTGTTTCAATTTTGTCGAATATTTAGTATGACGTAGTTCGAGTTGTTTTAATAGATTTTTGGTTAAATAATTTTATAATATACCGTGTGAGCTTTTATAAAAAAAAACCAATCTTTTATTTTTACGCTACATTTTTTATTTTAAAACTAATTGTAAGATTCACTAGTTTTCTGGTCCGCTTGACCAATTAATCTTTCAATTAATTAAGGTATTTTAGTTGAGATAAAAAAGTCAGTGTCACGAGCTGGATTCGAACCCACGACCTTCGGCTAGATTCGCCGCTACCCTACCACTTGAGCTATCGTGATCCTTCGATCCACTCGGACACTAACTTCCCATCTAATCCCCACCTTTTGAATTTTTCCTCCTTTTTGCCATTTTTCAAATGTCGTGTATTTGATTCTCGACGACAAATGAAATGGCCACGGAGATTTTTAGTGAAGGTATACTTCATTTTAACTTATTAATTTCAATAGCTTTCGTGGTCCGCTTGACCAATTAATATCTTTCAATTTATTAATTAAGGTTTTTAGTTGAGATAAAAAAGTCAGTGTCACGAGCGGGAATCGAACCCACGACCTTCGGCTAATACGCCGCTACTCTACCACTTGAGCGACCAAATTAATGCCGTCTGTACACTAATAAAACGAGTTAAAAAAGCTTTTTTTTACATTATTTGCTGATATGTATATTTGTACTGTATACAACAAAAACTTAATTTAATTTAATTGCTTAAAAATTATAATCGGACCAACTTTTGGGCCTTTATGATCCCCTTTTTTAAAATTAATTAATTGTAAGTTTGATTTCAAAAGTAATTTTTCACTAGTTGGCGCTTAAGACGACCTGATGATAAAACATTTTTTAAACAAAATCAGAAAATCCATCGATTTGTTCTGGAGATATAGAAGTTTCCTTCGAAACTCGATAATTTCAATTTATCGTGTAACTGGTTAAAAAAACAGACACCTGACAATTTAATTGAATAGAATTGAAATGAAAATTTAATTTGGCGTTAATTTTTTAGCATCACCAGATTCTACGTGAACAATAACCTTTGGAGTCATACTTCGATTTACAATAAAATCGGCAACTATAAAATAAAAACTCACGAGATATTATATAAGTTCATTTAATAATAAAAAAATTTTGATATACGATATTACGTTTTCATACGTTCATATATATATTTGTTTCACCAAAATATATTATGTTACCAATTTCAATGCTTTTCCCCTTCTATTTCTTCGTGATAATAGTGATTTTAATATATACTGTATTTTTGTTATAAGAAAAATTATGTTTATTTTACAGATTTAGAATATTGTACAAAAAGAAAACTAGTATGATATGGAAATGAAGGTACCACTACACTTTAGGACATTATTTGTTTTATTTCTATATAATCGATGTAAAATAAATCTTTTGTTGTTTAGTGTACTTTCTTCTAATTGATCAGGCCTGAGACCAAAAAAGAAAGAAAATATTTAGTTTATTGTTTGAGCTTCTGAGTTGAATTTTAATGAATCCCCTCATAGAAACTTTAAAAACTTAACTAACCCTTTTAAACAGGTTAACATAAAAGTTTTGTTATAAAGTGCATTGATCATGTTAGATCTGGTACTTTCTAATTTCAACATTCAGTCCCATTGTACTTGAAAAGTAGGCCTCAAAGTTGTGAATAAATATTAATATTTGTTAACGTTTGAAAGTCTAAAATTGGGTCGTTTCCGATCATTTTGGCCAATCGTTTTTCCATTCTTTATATTTTGGCCACTTCTCTGATAACTCTTTTCTTCTCCTTGCTTGGGGATTTCCAATTATTTCAACCTATCTCTTGCTGACTAAGTAGCCCAATTTAATTTATGCCTGTGACGCATAAACCGCCATTTTCTCATACTCATAAAAGGATTTCTAAAAATCGTACATAAGTTATCGAGGTTTCGTCAGCTAGTCAGCTAAGTTACAAAGCGCACAGGGCTGGAGATGACCCCTTGATTTTTATCGGCCCATAAATAAAACATCATTCATGTAATCCTTTTTAAAAAAAGATAGTTCCTACTCACAGTAAGTTGTTTTGCAACGATCCGGATTTCAAGCCATTTAGCTCATCTTCAGGTTCAAGGACTTCCACAACCACATCTCTCGACATGAATTGCAAAATTCGGTTGAAAGTATTTTATTCTGTGATATTATTATTATATCAAATTATATTTTCAAAATTTAAAAAATATTTTCAACCGACTTTTGCAATTCATGTCGGGAGTTGTGGTTGTAGAACTCCTTCAACCTGATGATGAGCTAAAAGCTCGAAATCCGGATCGTTGCAAAACAACTCACTGTGACTAGGAACTATCTTTTTAATAAACCACACTCACTCTATCATTCATCATTTCTACATTCATATATTTTACATTTATATTAATATTAAATTTTATTACAATTAATTAAGGTTTTTAGTTGAGATAAAAAGTCGATGGCACGAGCGGGATTCGAACCCACGATCTTCGGCTAGATACGCTGCTGCTCTACCACTTGAGCTATCGAGACCTCGACCACTCGGACACCAACTCCCATCTCAACCCCACCTTTCGATTTTTTTTTTTTTGAAAAATGGCAAAAAGGAGGGAAAATTGAAAAGGTGGGGTTGAGATGGGAGTTGGTGTCCGAGTGGATCGAGGTCACGATAGCTCAAGCAGCGGCGTATCAAGCCGAAGATCGTGGGTTCGAATCCCGCTCGTGCCATTGACTTTTTATCTCAACTAAAAACCTTAATTAATTGTAATATATTAATTTGTCAAGCGGACCACGAAATTAGTGAGATTAAATTTTATATTTATGATATGTATAAATTATTAGATTATATTTCACAAAAATTATATTTTCTATTTTTAATATATGTTTTCGATTGAATAGAGGATGAATGGTGAGCAAACTAAAAAGCTATACTTCAATTCGGGTTCATTGAAGAGAAAAGTGGTTTTAACTATTTCTCGTACAAATCCGAGCAGTTGATAAGCCATTATTGATTATATCTAAAATCATTTTCTCCGAATTTTATTTATAAAACGGTTTTTCTTTTCGGAGTATTGTTTTCCCTAAAAAACAGAGATTGATGAATAGAAAAGTGTTTAATTACATGGATGATATTTTGTAAAAGGGTTTTTTTGAGGTGGTGGGGCGGCGCAGATGGGCGAGGGTGGTATAAACCATGAGAGCTCAGTCACTTTCTGAACTCCCATGCGAAACCAGCGGTGCTGGAGCCCAGCGACACCGTATCGTACGTATTTTGACAAATGGCTCATCAATTATAGATGTTGTGAAATCTTCTTTCCCACCCGTTTTCCCTCTACTGAGGATTTTTAACGGTGAAAATATTCATAACATAAGAAAAACAACCATACGAGACAAACCTACAAAAAATTACAAACGGATTGGACTTGAATTGAACAGTCCATATATAAAGTTATTCGAAATTGGTGTTTAATAAATTCACAAGGACTATTTTGCAACCAATCGTCTTTTTACTCGATATAAATGATAATAAAATGAATAAAAATTTCTTGTTGGAACTTCTTAAAAATTTGCCTCTCAGTGAAGATTTGAATAATCATACTTGTGCAATGCGAACGATTGGGAATACGAAAGGGGGAATTAAGAAATTCGTATTCGAAATATAGAAAAATATAGGTTTAATGCAATTTCTTTCCTCTTGTAACATATGCATCTTAAGTTCTATGGCAAAAGAAAAAAACATTTCACACTAATTTAAACAATATTCTTAACGATTTCTCTTTCATTTAACTAGTAAATACATAAATAAAAGCATTATTTACGCTTGTACCAACACAAACTATGGAAAAAAGCTTTTTTATGAAATGCTGATTGGCTTTTACATTTATAAAGTAATAACAATACTTGAGCGCTGAAAAATAAACAAAATGATCAACTATAAAAAGTGTGTGGTGATAAGAGATCGTTAGTCGATGATTATTCAGAAATCGTGAGATGCGGTCTGGTGTGATGTAGGTTTCAGAAAAACATTTTCTTTATCGTGCCAACGTTTCAATCTTTATTAAGATTTACATTCTGGCCTGGGATTTACAAACATTGTTGTACATGTATTTGTTAAATTTAAACAATGTTTGTAAATCCCAGGCCCTGAAGATGATCTCAATAAAGATCGAAACGTTGGCACGATAAAGAAAATGTTTTTCTGAAACCTACATCACACCAGACCGCATCTCACGATTTCTGAATAATTATATAAAATTTATTACTATGAATAATTGGCTGAAATGTCTAAATTTAAGTACAGATTTTCTACATTTCGTGTACGACTAAATCATAGCTTTATAATTATTAATTTGTCATTTACGGCTGTTTTTAAAAGTAAATAGTATTAGTTTCAATTTATAATAACATATTGTAACAAAGATAGTATAATTAAATCATTGGGATTTCTCTACGTTTGTAAGGCTATAAACAAAGAATCAAATAAATCAAACGAACAATTAGCTAATAAAAAGTACTATATAGTAGTAATTGGTCAAAAAAATCGATAGACATTGCAGTCAAATGAATATCTTGATTTATCAAACATGTATAATTTGAGAAATGTTTCGGGCTTGAAAGGGCCCAGTTTTAGTAATTCTGAGACCAAAAGTGATAAGAACTAAAAACGAGCGAATCTGTTAATCTCATTTTCCTCAATTAGTTTTCTCAGTTTTTCAAAGGGATTAGCTCTTTACGTAGTTCTGAAGAATTTAAATCGTTTTTATACAAACAAAAAATCCATTCTAAACTTATTTACATATTGCTTGAGTCCGTAATTGTTTTATGTTCCACCTTTTCATTATAGATTTAGTGTTCTACGTATTCAGTTGTTGATGTTTTCATTGCTTAGGAATGTTTGCACCTTGAAATAGGCCCGTTTTGTGCAGACCCGTTAGCCAATTTATAAATTTTTGAGCAATCAACGTGCTGTCGGTAATACTCACCAACTACTCAGCTTGATATAATCGCAGCCATCAATAATGGATATTACATTTAGCATAATATAAAAGACTTTTGATTTATCTCATGAATAAATAAAAGAAAAATAATTTATTAACTCCGCCAATACGCCGATAAAACGAGTTGGAAAGATATTTTATATGATTTATTGGTCTTTAAATCTGCAAAGTTACAATATCTAAGAGTTAATAATTTATAGTAAGTTAATCAAATTAACAATTATTTCATATTAAGCAAGTACTATTAAAAATTGGGAGAAAAAACATTACATTTAGTAGTTGATGGTGACTGAAGCCAATAAAACATTTTAGTCGCATAAAAATGTAAAATTAGACCAACGTTTTGCGCCCGTAAGGGCACTTTTTCAAAGGTTTATCTGTTAATATGTGACTTTTTCCTATTAAGTTACTTCGTTTTCAAACCAATGTTTTGGTTCTGATAGGGTTAAATATATCGTTTATGGAAAAAAAATATGCTGAACATATTGGCATATGGTGTTACTAATAAATAGATAAATAATTGCATTTCAGATATTTATGTTGTTTTCACATCCCCAATTACAATTGTTCGAGCAATGTTTCTTGGGGTTCAAACCGGGAGCAATTTATTACATGGCTGCGTGGGATATCGTAACCAAGGCGGAAAATCTGTCGTAATAAATTTGAAAATTTGTACCTCGACGTTTTTCCTTAACGTTGTCTCTTTTATTTTACTCTGTTTGAACTGTTTGGATGATGTCTCTTGGTGTTTGACAACGCATATCCATTAATTTGACGCATTTTAGAATGCACAATTATTCAAATTTTACATACGCGTTAAATTGTCAGGCTGAAAAAAAGTGTATTTTTTAAAATATTAAACTTAAATTCACTAGTTTTCGTGGTCCGCTTGAGCAATTAATATCTTTCAATTAAATAAGAGAGATAAAAACATTTGTCGCCGAGAATCATATAGATTACACGACATTTGAAAAATGGCAAAAAGGATTGAAAATTCGAAAGATGGGGTTGAGGTGGGAAGTTAGTGTTTTTATTGTAAATCCAAGTATGACTCCAAAGGTTATTGTTCACGTAGAATCTGGTGATGCTAAAAAATTAAGGCCAAATTAAATTTTCATTTCAATTCTATTCAATTAAATTGTCAGGTGTCTGTTTTTTTAACCAGTTACACGATAAATTGAAATTATCGAGTTTCGAAGGAAACTTCTATATCTCCAGAACAAATCGATGGATTTTCTGTTTCAACGTTTAAAAATTTTTTTTTATCATCAGGTCATCTTAAGCGCCAACTAGTGAAAAATTACTTTTGAAATCAAACTTACAATTAATTAATTTTAAAAAAGGGGATCATAGAGGCCCAAAAGTTGGTCAAATTATAATTTTTAAGCAATTAAATTAAATCAAGTTTTTGTTGTATACAATACAGATATACATACCAGCAAATAATGTAAAAAAAAAGATTTTTAAACTCGTTTTATTAGTGTACAGACGGAGTTATTAATTTTGTCGCTCAAGTGATAGAGCAGCTGCGTTTCTAGCCGAAGGTCGTGGGTTCGAATCCCGCTCGTGACACTGACTTTTTTAACTCAACTAAAAACCTTAATTAATTAATTGTAAGATATTAATTGTTCAAGCGGACCACGAAAGCTAGTGAAATTAATAAGTTAAAATGAAGTATACCTTCACTAAAAATCTCCGTGGCCATTTCATTTGTCGCCGAGAATCTTACACAACATTTGAAAAATGGCAAAAAGGAAGGAAAATTCGAAAGTTGGGGTTGAGGTGGGAAGTTAGTGTCCGAGTGGATCGAAGTCACTATAGCTCAAGTGGTAGAACAGCGGCGTATCTAGCCGAAGATCGTGCGTTCGAATCCTGCTCGTGACACTGACTTTTTTATCTGAACTAAAAACCTTAATTAATTGAAATATATTAAACATAAACCTTGTCTAAAAGAAATCGAATGATTTAGTCGTTCCGGTTGGCTGTCCTCATTGTGTTGGTCTGTCGTTTTGCCATCTTAAGTGTTGGATCTGGGTGATTTTTATCAAATAAAGCTCACAGGAAAAAAAAAAACCGAATGTGGACAAATGTTCTGCTGTAATTCAACTATTGGCAAGACTTTGCAATTCTGTTTTTCTCCCTCCAATCCACCGTGTGTTTTTATTTATTTTGACAAAGTAAAATGGTGTATTACCGCCAGCTGTCTCGTCTTGAACCTTTCTAATAGAATAGTGCTGTAAGATTAATGGATTTGCATGAATCAGGTCTTCCTTCTGACACCTGCCAACTGGAAGGTAAAGTTTTTATCTCCATTTACTGGGTTTGTTTTTGAAGTTAGATGGATGTTCAACCTGTAGTCTTAACGCTGATCGACTATTTTCGCTGGGTTTTATTTGCTTGATTTATTAAATTTTTGCCATCTTCAATATTTAACATAATTCCTTTTTAGAGGGTGTTCTTTAAAAAATTTAAAATTTTTAAGTGTATTGGTATTGTACAATATCCTTTGCGTAGGAGTCAACGGTAAAAAAGACAACTGAAATAACAGATCCTCACTGATTTCGTTGTCAGGCCTGATGAGTTTTACAAGCAGAGTGAGAAGGAGGCAATTCTCAGGCAAATATGTACAAACTTGACTCAACACTTTGTTTCTCCCTGCTTATATCCCTGACTGACCGGTGAATATGGCATAATGTCAAAACAGTCTATGAAATAAAAATGTCGAGGATAGATGGGCCAAAATTATCGAAAAAAGTACATATTTGTTCGTAAAACCTGAGTTCATAGAATATGTCATATTTAAAAATTATTATTTATGGAAGGTATTGAACTAACGTGACTTCGATCCACTCGGACTAATTGTAAGTTTGATTTCAGAAGTAATTTTTCACGTTTATTTTTTGTGTAAAGTGTATTTTTTAAAATATTAAACATAAATTCACCAGTTTTGGTGGTCCGCTTGACCAATTAATATCTTTCAATTATTCAAAGTTTTTAGTTGAGATAAAAAAGTGAGTGTCACGAGCAGGATTCGAACCCACGATCTTCGGCTAAATACGCCGCTGCTCTACCACTTGAGCTATCGTGACATCGATCCGATCGGACACTAACTTCCCATCTCAACCCCACCTTTTGAATTTTCCCTCCTCTTTTGCCATTTTTCAAATGTCGTATTTTATTCTCGGCGACAAACGAAATGGCCACGGAGTGCTTTCGTGAAGATATACTTCAGTTTAATTATTAAATCCATTACAGTTCGTGGTCC